GGGACACCAGAGAAGGTTGTGGAGAATAAGAAAACTAAGATCCTATGGGGCTTCTACATAGCAACAGCACTTAGACTTACATACCGCTTCACAGTGCTTTACAGCCCACTTTAAGCATTTTACAGAGTCAGCATATTGCCCCCAACAATCTTGGTCCTCATTTTACCAACCTTGGAAGAATGGAAGGCTGAGTAGATCTTGAGCCAGTGAGAATTTAACTGCTGGAAGCTGGCAGTCAGCAGTAACCTGCAATACTGCATTCTAACCACTGCACCACCATGACTCTAGATCCAGACAGACAGATAGGTACTAGCCAATCAACTAGACACTGTATTACCGGACAACAACCAAAGACAGTGGTGGTAATAGATGTAGCAATGTCAAGTGATAGCAACATCAGGAAGAAGAGCATGAGAAGCTGGAAAAGTATCAGGGCCTGAAGGAGGAACTGGATTATACCCCAAGGTTCAGAAGGAATTTGCAGACATAATGTCAGAATTGCTAAACCATATATTTCGAAGATCCTGGAGCACTGAGGAACCAGATGACATGTTCCAAAAAAAAAAAGGGGGGGGGGATCCAGGAAACTACAAACCTATCAGCCTGACATCATTACCTGGGAAAATTCTGGAAAAGATAAGCAAGTACAAATCTGCAAGCACCTAGAAGCCAATAAGGATTTATCAAAACAGATCATGCCAGACAAATCTTATTGCCTTTTTATATCACACAATTAGTGGACCAGCTAAATGTTGTAGATATAATTTACTTTGACTTCAGTAAGGCATTTGATAAACTAGACACAATCTCCTACTGTATTTCCCCAAAAATAAGACTCCTATAGTTTTTTGAACCCCGAAATAAGCACTTGGCCTTATTTTCGGGGAGGTCTTATTATTATGGGGCACATTGAACAAGACGGGGCTCCTCTTGCTGTCTTACCTGATTTCCAGCTCTGTCTCCCTAACCCTAACCAGACGGGGACCAGCTGCACATGCGTTTAAATATTTTTTGGGGAGGGTTTATTTTCAGGGAGGGCTTATTTTAGCGCATGTGCTCAAAAGCCTGATTGGGCTTATTATCAGGGGCTGTCTTTATTTTCAGGGAAACAGGGTATTTGATAAGATAGAAAAATGTGGGGTAGGGAGCAGATGGATTTGTAATTGGCTGAGCAACCACATTCAATGTGTCGTCCTTAATGGAAATGCACCTATATGGAGAGAAGCATGCAATGGGGTACTGCCTTCTGTCTTAGGACAATTCTGTCTTTGGCTCAATACTCTTCAATATCTTCATAAATGATTTAGATGAAAAAATAGAAGGTGAACTCACCAGATTTGCAGATAACGCCAAGATGATTGGTATAGCCAACACTCAAGAAAATAGGATTAAGATACAAAAAGCTCTCGACAAACTTAAATACTGGGCCCTATCTAACACAAAGGAATTTGGTGGTGATAAAAGTAAGCTTTACACTTAAGGGGAAAAAAACCCCAAATGCACAGGTATAGAATAAGTATTCCTGGCTCAATAGTAGTAACTGTGAAAGGATCTTGGATCTATATATGAGCCAGCAGTGTGCTGCAGCTGTCAAAAAAGCCAACAGAGTCCTAGGCTGCATTAAAGAGAGATAGAATCAAGATCACATGAAGTGTTAGTACCACTTTATAATGCCTTGGCAAGACCACGCTTGGAACACTGCATCCAGTTTACATTAAATTACAATTTAAAAGAACATTTTTATAAGATGATGTATCCTTAGTATTTAACACCAGATAAATTATCAAGAATGTATAAAGGTATTTCAAAGGAATGCTGGAAATGCAAATGTAAAGAAAGGACTTTTTCTTTCGGGTTTAATGGAAAAAGACTTGGAAAAGAATTTGGAACTTTGATGTTATACATGTTGATGGCAGCAAATTTACTTTATGCACAAAACTGGAAGGATGCTTCAATCCCCACAATGGATGAGCTAATGGAGTTAGCAGAGATGGCTAAATTGACTGCTTTGATAAAAGAAAAAAACACAAGTACTTTTGTTTCTACTTGGAAACCACTTCTGGACTTGGTGCTTGAGATGGGGGGGGGATGAAACTTTAATTTTGTGCCTTATTGATTAGATAGATCTGTTGTTATAGTAAAGGCTAGTTTATACTATTATGTAAAAGTAAAAAGTTGAGGTTCAATGTTAGTTCTTACTCTATTGCACCAAAGGGAGTCAGAAGTCACTGCCTTTTCTTTCTTTTTCTCTTCTTCTCTACACTTTTCCCTTTCCCTCCCCTATTTTTCCTATTATTTGCTTTTGTATTTTATATTATAAACTAATAGAAAGTATTGACATGTAAAAAAATAGGGGGGGGGGGAAGGAATATTGTATCCAGTTTTGGTCACCATGATATAAAAAAGATGTTGAGATTCTAGAAAAAGTGCAGAGAAGAGCAACAAAGATGATTAGGGGACTGACGGCTACAATATATGAAGAATGGTTGCAGGAATTGGGTATGTCTAGTTTGATGAAAAGAAGGACTAGGGATGACAGAATAACAATGGTCAACCTATTCTCCAAAGCACCTGAGGGCAGAACAAGAAGCAATGGATGGAAAGTAATCAAGGAGAGAACCAACCTAGAACATAGGAGAAATTTCCTGACAACAATTACTCAATGGAAGTACTTGCTCCCAGAAGTTGTGGGTGCTCCAACACTGGAGATTTTGAAGAGGAGTTTAGACAACCATTTGTTGCTGCTTGAACAGAGATTTGACTAGAAAACCTCCAAGGAACATTTCAACTCTGTTATTCTGTACAGGATCTGGAAAGTAAAGGCCAAAGTGGTACCAGCGGTGGTAGGAACACTTAGTGGTACAATTCAAACTAGTGAATGGTTCCAAGAGATCCCAGAAACAACATCAGAGCTCTTTGTCCAAGAGTGCAGTGCTAGGAGCAGCTAAATTCCTGAGCAGAACCTCAGATTCCCAGGCCTCTGCTAAAGGACCCAAGATTGAGGAAAACATGCACCACGCATAAGGGTGAAAAAGGTGTTTTTTTATATGCACATATCTAGAAAACGTGGAATAACAATTGGAACAGCAATTCTCATGGTTTCTTTGATGCTATGTCAATCCAATATGACAAAAGAAAAAAAAAGAGATGGAATTTGCAAATAGACATCTATCAATTTTTGGAAAAAAATATTCACAGAACATAATGGCATAACTTCAAAGTTTTATAAGATTTTGAAAGAAATTATGGTAAACCTATTTCAAAGCCAAAATGAGTCTGTGACGCAGTAGAAATAATTAAGCAATAACATTTGGCAGTCGCTATTCAGCATCAAAAAATTCTTTTGAGTATCCATGCAGGAAATTTACATTAGTGGCATCAACCCTCAATATGAACTTCACACATATCTTCTCAATATTCAGTGACATGTTGGGAAGGTATTGATGAGGCTGAGGAGCTGGCAATCAAAGTGAATATTCTTTTATCTTATCTGGTGAAATTGCAATAAAATATTGGAATTTTGGAAGAATGTTCTTAAATAAATGTCTGACACAAAATAATTATCAAGACAAAATAAACAAACAAGACAAGAATCCATTAATTCTAGCAAGATTCACCTTTCTGGCATTTCTTCACAGCTTCCTTCTGACCTAGAATAACTTCCATGTGGAAAGCATAGCAATGGTTTCGGAAAGGAACCCAAGAGGAATCTTCTATTGTTTTAGGACAACTTCCATTGTAGCTCCATTTGTGTGAAGAAAGGGGTCCTGAAGCAGAATACTTGGTTAGAAGAAACTTAGCAAATACATTGGTTTTAGTCATTAAAAACAAATAACAAAAGGATTTTTTTCCTAACCCCTTCATTAAAATTCAGGAGATGAGAGAAGAGAGTCCTTATTTCAGCATTTCCTTCTCTATCTGTATAGTTGTCATACAGGTAAATTACCTGTGTTCAACTTGCAGATGGCCCCTTGAAGCTTTGTGTTGCAAGTGGCAGTTCGCCATGTTCCATCTATATCCATGTATGCACATCCCACAATTTGTTGCGGTTCTCCATCTTGCCAGTTTGTGTAGGAGACGCTCTCATCTATAAACCATTCATAGTTACGTCTCCCCTAAAAAAAGTCAATATATATAAAGTTTCACCATACTGGACTAATCAATCTGGCTACAAAATATTTGATGGCATACATTTACCATATATATATATATACATGCACCACAGAGTCACACTGATAATAGTTCTCCATAGGAGGTTTTGGAAATGCGAATCAATCAGAATTCACTACTTCTTTATACCTTCACCATTTGTTATTCCAGAATAATGATTTAGCCAACACATAAACTCAAGACCATGTCAGACTCTAGATATGCTTCCATTTTTTTGCATCTATTACATGCAAGGCAGGTTTGATTTACATGCTATGGTTTCTAAATATAGTTGACTCACCTCTTCGTTGGACAAGCCAATCCAGAGTGGGGTATGTAAGCTGCTAACTACCTGAGTGAGGAAGGCCTGGGTGAATGGTTCCATCACATTTGCTAGACTTCCATTGAGACTCTCACATAACAACACAGCTTCATGCCATTTGAGTGGCTTCATCAAGACACGGTAAGTGTTGTTAAGATATGAAAGAGTAGAGTTGAGAACAGGAGAGAAGGATGTTGAAGAAGGGTTTAGAGTAGGATCTTGAATGTGGAGAAAGAATTTGAGAGAAAGAAAATAAAAGCTTAGTCAATATACCTTAGAGTCATTAACAAAGCAACACTGATTTTATTAAAAATTAATAGAAGATATATTTATAGATACTATTATTCCCTCTCATTTAAAACATTTATATTTAATTCTTTAGTTAGAAAACCTCATTCCTCCTCTATGTAGTTTGATCAGGATAAGGCAGATGAGGATAAAGGAGAGAAGAATGTTAACGTCTATATTCTACTTCTGACCGTTGTTAAAGACTGTTTTCTCATTGTTAATAAAAAATGAGGAAGAGTGTATCTATCTTATTTGATACTTGATACTCAGTTGGAGTAAGGAAAAGTGGATAGAACTTGTGCATTAGATGCATGTTGCAGAGAGAAACCAAAGGCCATAGCATCCTGAATAAGTGCTCACAAAAACAGCATTTTCAAGACTAACGGGTTTTGACAATAAACAAATTAAGAGTCTTGTTACTAGTTTGGTTATCCTGGTTAGGCCCAATATAAGAGACTGTAGACTTTCTTGTAATAATAATATTTATTTTCTTCCTCAGGAACACATTTAGACAGCCATCAATCTGAGGGGAGCGAGAGCTTATATACAGAGGAGGTGGGGCTAATGGTAAGTAGTGACCAATGATAAGTGACACAATGACATCACACAATGACATATACACAAGCAAACATATTTACATATTTACAGATATCAGGTTAGGTATTTTCAACTGTAACAAGTCTGGAAGCATTTTAAAGACTAATCAACCTTTTTGGGGTATATTCTGTGATGAGAAGCAGCCATTTTCATGAACATGCATGTAATTGAACAGAGTTGCTGCCCATGAAATAATATGCTTCAAGTTGGCCAGTCTTGAAGTCTTGCTACCAGATTCTTGTATCTGTCTTGTTGCCACAGACTAATAAAATTCTTTCTCCCTTGGGCACAACAGAAATGAATGCCAACATCCTTGGCACAAGGAATCAAAATTATCACAAGCCCTCTCTGCTAAGCATAACTTAAGCCAATGTTATTTTCTTGCATTATTCCTAACTCTTACCTTTGCTCTTCTGACAGATAAAAATATGTTTCTCCTCTTGGCAATTCCTATCATCCCAACGGCCTGTAAACAGGGAAGGGAGGCCATGCCACATTACAGCGCAGTTGGTCTATGAAAAACAGAACCAGAAAAATCAAAATCATACACCTGCAATCATAATGAGAATGTAGCTATCAAACAACATCAAGAATTGTCTAAGTGTCTCCTGGCTTATGACCAAATAAATATTGATTTGGTTAATGGATTGAGTGTGTCCACACTGAGTTGTCCAATTCTTGTCTTATGATTACTGCAACATGACACACATGAAACTGCTCTTAGCAAATGTTACAAGCAAAGCAAATAGGCAAAGCAAAATAGACAATGGGTTCCAGAGAAACACAAAAACAAGCAACACACTGAACACTAAACCAAGTTGTGGTTTTCACATAACTTGTTATATCTGAACAATAATCATATTGTGGAATAAATAAGCCTGATAGTTTAGTATATACAGTATGTCGACACAGTAACCTGACTCCTGCAATATGTCAAACCACAAACTATCCTATTCAATTTTAATTCATGCTACATGAACCAAACCAAACTGTTACTTCATCTTTACCAAACTTTGGAACTCATTACCAGTAGTCCATGACTTAAAACCACAATTGGGTCTGAAATTTTGGTTGCAAGTTATTGTGGTAGCTAAGTAAGGTGCCCATATGACCACTTAATTCAATCCCAGGACTCTGAGTTGTGGATGCTAAGTAACCACACAGGTTAGTAAGTAGACAAAGGAGAATAAGAGAGTAACAGAGGGGAAGGGGCCTTGGAAGTCTTCTAGTCTAACCCACTGTTCAAATCTTATACATTTCAGACAAATGGTTGTCAAATCTCTTCTTAAAAAGAAAGAGCTGCCTGCCAAAAGAGGGCAAAGAGAATTCCTGCTCTGAGTCTTACAAACTTAGATCCCAAAGATTCAAGTTTTGTTTCTTCAGCCCACTACAGGTCATCTGCTCCTTTCCATGTGCAGAAGGAAATCATTACACTGGGGTGAAAAAAGGAAGCCCAGATCTCTGATGGATCTTCTTTGAAGAGCTTTCTACTCTTCAAAAACTTTGCATTTATTAATTTTTCAGGCAGAAAGCTAGCAAGTGCAATCTTTCTTAAGAGTATAAAAGCTAGAAAAAGCATATCTAGCCTTTAGAAAGATCGTATTTGCTAGCTTTCTGGCTAGAAAGGTTGGGAAGAAGCTCTGATCTTCTGGATGCGAGTGTCTTTTCTCCAGCCCAGCGCCAAAGTTCTCCTCTGCATGTTGTGTGGGTGAAACTCTAGCATTCGCTTGGAGAAAAGTTTGCATCCCAAAGATCTTTGTTTCTCCATCCTTTCCTGCAGAAGTCTCCCTCCCCCGCCCCCTGCAAAGAGGGATGGGGAAGTCCTTCCATAAGCGGCAGCAGCTTTCTCTGTTGGTTTCCACATTGAATTTTTGGTGAAACGAGCAGAGAAGATTGAAAATGGCAATCATGTAATTACAGGACTCTTGACAACCAGTCATAAGTACGAACAGGTTGCCAAATGCCTAAAATATGATCACATGACCTTGGGGATAAGGGGGGAATTAGAATTTCAAGGACAGATTGGAAGCAATTTTTTCCTGAGTCTCTCGTAACTTTGAACAGTCATTAAATGGCCAATTGTAGGTTGAAGATGACCTGTGTTGCAAGATGCATCTTTGAAAAAACAGGTGGCTGGTTAATCTGTAAGTAACAGAATGCTGCGCTAGATTCTAGTTTTAACACTAATTGAAAGTTTTACTATATTTAAGTGATCACCTAAAACAAAAAAAACCTCCAATTTTATTATACGTATTTTTTGGATACCTCCCCCCCTCCATAAAAGAGGGTGAAAATTTGGGTGCGTCTTATATACTAAATGTAGCCCCACCCAGCCTCTGAAACAGAGGAAAAAGCCTCTTAAAGGGAGGTTTCAGAGGCTGAAAAAAAAGCAAGGCGCAGAGCTCACAACCAACAAACCTGCTGCTAACGTTCACCTCTGGGAACAGCTGATTGGGGGTATTCCGGGAGGCCATCCACCCGCCAATCAGCTTTTTTCTAAAAACTAAGGTGTGTCTTATACTCTGGTGCGTTTTATAATCCAAAAAATATGGGTATATTTATTTAGAGGGAAAAGAAAAATGTTCTCTGAAAATCCTGCCAAATGCTTAAAGAGAAATAAACAAATTGTCATTTGTTTATGAAAATACACAAAAGGCCATTTTCATGATTGACCAGCTTCAAAAATTCAGAAGTCAGAATTCAAAAGCCGCATTCTAGAAATACATAAGGCACAGCCTTTTCTTCTGCAGTTTTTGGCAGGGAACCCTGAACAGAAATTGTAATCCTGTTTGAATAGTTTTCCTGTACTTTATTTAATCCAGAGCCTTAATTATGCTATTAGCAGTAAAAGTTCAGCTCACCGGCTGATCACTATCAATGGATGTTCCATATCCAGATGGTTCTCCAGGGGCCCAGTTCACATACTTGACAGCCTCAGATTCTACCCAGAGAAATTCCTTCTTGGAATCATGGAGGCCAATCCATATATCAAAGGTCACGTTTGGAAGAAGAGTTGTTATAAAAGCTGCAAGAAAGAAACAAAGGAATGGAAAGTGCTTGGCGTATGATTAAAGAAAAAGCAGTGAATATAGTGCTGTTTTTCTAAACGGAGCTAGGAACTCAAAAGTTGAATCCCACTATTCCCTCTACTAGTGTTTCCCCATTGTCCATAATATAAAATTTGCTCTGTTTCACTGCAGTCCTTGATCAACATTCAAAATAAAGGAGAATTAAAAGCTAACCTATTTTATCCATCATGAGCTTCATTGGATGGCATCAGAATACTATTTTAACATTGGTACTGCCAAAGACATCAGCTCAGAATTGTTCAATATTATCTCCTCTGAATCTATGCTTGGACCATAGCATAAAAAAAGGCTTGCCCTGGACTGAAATGGTACTCATCCTATCACTTTTTGGCATAGACTTGAGCAGTCTTTTGGCAATAATGAGACTGCTACAATTGTCTTGTTTAGAATAGACAATCTGCTAGTTTAGTTATTCAGCAGCTAAAATAAATGCAGTATTTATATTTTCATGGCCCTCTATTCTTTATTACTACTTCAGATATTCCTGGAGTGAACTCTACAAAATAAATTCTATCTATTAGAGAACACATCTGTTCTGAGCAGAATTCAGAACAGTTTAGGGTTAAGAGAGATATCCCTACCAAAGACTATGATGCTGAGAGGCAAAGAAAGAAACAGATGAATCTCTGGCTATCACACATTGATTTAAAAAAAACTATTTTTTCCTTCCTGTGAACTGGAAGATTATTTATTTCAGTGACCTGGAAATTCCAAATTCATACAGAAATCATTTTCAAAGGGACAGCTGTAACCAACAAGAAAAGATTGCACTTTTGTTTTAGTTATTATTGAAACTCATAGCCAATCATGATATTATTTCTTTCAGAAGAGCTTTGCTAGCTGAGGAATTCTGAGAGTTGAAGTCCACAAGTCTTAAAAGTTGCCAAGGTTGGAGACCCTTGTACTAGTACAGTATGTGTCTGTAACCTCTCAACACGTTTACAAAAAGAGTTTGCATTGTGAGGTCACCACACTAAGTTCAGTATCTGCCTCCCCCACTCCCCACAGACACTTCATTAGGTGAATTTTCCCAAGAAAAAATACCATTCTCCCTTATCATTTTTTTTTCTCTTGAAGAACTCTCATATCTATTCTGGGACCAAAACCTGTCCACTTTTCAGAGGCAGAACAAGCATCTCTCTTTGTACACATACACCCTTGGATAAAACCTACCTTGCTCAAGCAGATTGGAGACAGTAGCCAATATACCTCCCTGAATTTCACATTTCCGCTTTGCCTCCAGCCATGTCACTTTTTCTTGATTATAGATCCTAAAGCACTACAAAAACAACAGGGAGAAAGAATAAAAAACAGGATGTGGAGAAATCTTTTTCATGAAGATTTATTTACAGTAATTTACTATTGCTCCTCTTATTATTCCTCTTTCTAAAAACGCTTTTACTTCCTGCAATAACCTAGTGTAGACCAGTGTCCCCCAACCTTTGGGGCACCAGGGACTGGTTCCATGGACAGAGATTTTTCTACAGATCAGAGGGGGCGTGGTTTTACATGCTGCCTGCATCCTGCAGGTGGGGCTTCACTTGTTTGTGCGATCCAGTTTCTGGAATGCCAGGCACGGTACCGGTCCAAGGACCAGGGGTTGTGGACCCCTAATGTAGACCAACCAGTAATGACTGACATTGAGTGAACCATACTAAGATTTCAGTCAAAAGTCTCATCAACCATATTTACCATTTTACTGCGCTGGCTCTTTATTCTTATATGTTAAACATTAACTAGGGAAACGACAACTCTATTCAGACTTTCTGGAAAATTCCTGATGCCAGGAATAGGAATATTTGTGAAGAAATGATTTCTGTATTCTCCACAAACCTTACTTTTTCTTCTCACATATTCAGCTCAAAGAGGATGCACAGACAGATATTCCTCTCAAATTGTCCCCCTTAATGATTTACAATACAGTGTTCTGAGTACCTTATTAATGAAGACATGCCAGCCTTGGGCACAGCTGCCAGGAGTTGGTACAGGCAAAGAGGGCTGCACAGTGGTGATGTTGGTACGCTTGCAAATATAAGGCAGAGCAGTGAGACATCTCTGGTCACCCCAGTCCTCTGCAAAAGATGGAAAAATTATGATGAGCTTTGTTCAGGGGATTCCAGAACACAATGGCCCACTCAAAGAAATTGCTGTACTAAAAAATGGTACCAAGAGTTGTTATTAAAATTCTAGCAGAGAAAAACTCAAAATATGAAACTGGGATGTTTTCTCTCTTACCTGCTGTGTCTGAAAAGCCATGTAGACCCACACCACTAAAATAAAATATAAATGAAAGGAACTTTATACACGTTCCATATTAATGGTTAATTGCATTCCAGTTGTTAAAAAGAGAATGGAAAGTGTGGAGAGAAGAAACTATAGTGCTTTATTAGCAAGGAAATAAGAACTAAGACAGGAAAGAAGTTTACCATTACAAACATTTCTATGAGCTTGGTGCATTGCACAAAGTTTCTCCATGGTGGATAAGGATACCAATTTTGGCACTTGGCTAATTGGAAAGAAAGCAAGAAAAAAAACATTTCGAGCTTTCTATCATGGGA